CCTGGCGCCAGCGTCCTGGCGTTCGCGCTCTGGGCGCGCCGGGGCAAGGGGCCCTGGGTTCCCGGGGCCACGCGCGCTCGAGGATCCTGGGCCGCCGCGACGTGGGATCCAAGGTGTCCTGGGTCACGGCCCTGGGGCGTCCTGGGCCTCCGCGTGGGGCGCGCAGGGGGTGTGGGGACCCGGACTTGGGCACGCAGGGCTTTCAGAGACCCGGCTTGGGGCCCCCAACGGGTGTCTTTAGGTCCCGGAGTGGGACGCACGAGCTGTGTCCCCGGGGCCCAACCTGGAGAAGCCTGAGGTGTCCCGGGTCCCACAACCCGGGGCGCGCAGGGGTGACTGTCGGGCCTCTTGGCTTCCTAAGGGTGCTGGGGACCCGGGTCGTGGAGAGCTAAGGGGGAATCCTCGGACTGTCGAGCGGGAAAAGCGGGGAAGCTCGCCCCGTCGCGGCTGCTGCGTTTTCAAGCAAAGGGGACGGCGGCGGGAAGGGGACCGGCGGGCCTGAAGCTCACCGCCATGTTCTTGGCCTTCCCACCCCACCCCACCCCACCCCCAGTCTCCAGGTTTATGGGGCCGTCGGCGGGTGTGAATGTGGCCGGCATGGGGTCGCTGACGGGCATCGCGGACGCCGCCAAATCGTTGGCCCCGCTGCACGCGGCAGCACCGCGCAGGAAGCGCCGGGTGCTTTTCTCGCAAGCGCAGGTCTACGAGCTGGAGCGGCGCTTCAAGCAGCAGAAGTACCTGTCGGCGCCCGAGCGCGAGCACCTGGCCAGCATGATCCACCTGACGCCCACCCAGGTCAAGATCTGGTTCCAGAACCACCGCTACAAGATGAAGAGGCAGGCCAAGGACAAGGCGGCGCAGCAGCTGCAGCAGGAGGGCGGCCTGGGTCCGCCGCCACCGCCACCTCCCTCGCCGCGCCGCGTGGCCGTGCCCGTGTTGGTGAAGGACGGCAAACCGTGCCAAAATGGTGCTGGCACGCCCACTCCCGGCCAGGCCGGCCAGCAACCGCAGGCCCCGACACCAGCGCCCGAGCTAGAGGAGCTGTCGCCCAGCCCGCCCGCGCTGCACGGGCCCGGGGGCGGCTTGGCGGCCCTGGACGCGGCGGCGGGAGACTATGGTGGAGGTGTGCTGGGCACCAACCTGCTGTATGGCAGGACGTGGTGACAGCGCGGGATCCCCGAAAGGGTCCCGCCTGCAGTCCTGAGTGTCTGCAAGAAACTGCTAGAACCAGTGGGGGAAATGTGTGGAGTCCGTGGATATTTAAAAAAAAAAAAAAAGGACCAGTCGCTCACAGGGACAGGAACTTCTTTTCTGGGGGTGGGGGACAGACAGACCAGAACTGAATAATGTAACATCACACTTGGTGGAAGTGATTTTTTCCCCCTTCCAGAAGTTTCTAAATTATTGGAAAAGCTGACCAAGTCCACTATGTTCCTGACCAGAGTTCCCAGAGTTCGAAAAGTTGGAAACTTTCTTAGTGTTTGTAGCTCTTAAAAATCACTCCAGCTTTAAGAAGGAATCCTTGTCCAAGTGGTATTTATCTTGGGAGATTAATTTTCAAAGGGTCTCCCTAAGTGCAATTTCATTAATGTTTGATTGAAAGTAAATTGAATTGTAGCTCAAGGTGGAGCATACCGACAGCGACATTCTTGCAGGGGAGTTATTGCAATTAGGTAAAATAGAGCTATGGAATAAAAGGGATCAAAATATTGCTTATATGGGTTGAAACAGCTTTTTAAATTCCATGCTATTTCAGAATATCTTGAACTTTTGCGTACAATCCCAGAAGGGTCTTCACCTTTCCCCAAGATGCAGCTCACCATAAGAAAGAACGGTTGTGAACTACTTTTTCTATGGAATTTGGCCTCTCCAGTTGAGCTAATAAAAAACAACAACAACCACCTTCCTATCCAGTAGTCAAGGCATTTACACTCTATAGGGTTTTTTTTTTTGGTCTGAATTTGAATACTTTGATAAAGTACCAGAATGAGCAAGTAATTGCTAAAAGAATTAGAAGAAATAGTAGGGTGGTCTATTGAATTGTAGTGAAGATATAAAGAAAAAGTAACATATTTATAATTTTTCCAACACATTTAGGACTTAATAGGACTTGCACCGATTTTGTTGGTGTTTTATTGTATAAATTATGTATTTACTGTTTAATATGCAATTTATATTTCCAGTGTTTCAAATGAATATTTAAATATAACTTAAAAGAACCTTGAGTACTTTTTCCAAAAAAAAAAAGTCAAGTGGTCATTTCTTTTTCATTAATTATATTAGGGAAGGGATTAAAAAAATTAAAACTAGTTGAAATGATGTTACGACCCCAGCTTACTTATCTTTTAAACAACTTGTTTTGGAGGAAAAATGCTAGGAATAAGGAATAAGGGCAATTTGTAAGATAAAAGTTAAAGGAGTAATATGGGTAAAGCATGTTTTATGGATGATTAAAACACATAGTTGCCAGAGACCCCAAACCTTTTCCACATTTGAAGCTTTAGAAAACTGTTTGTGACTGAAATATTTTATCTTACTGTTTAAACATTTTTCTGAATGTACAAAGTGAATCCATAAGAAGATATAAACGTTAAATTTGCACTTTCTCCAAACTGTATTTTATAAAGTGAATTCTTTAGGTTTGGGTTTTTTCTGCTTCTTATTTTGTTTTAAATAACTGCAGCTCCTTTGTGGAGGAAGAGATCCTCCTTATTTAGGGGCTCTGGATGCACTTTTGGAAAATGAGGTTTTATCAAAAAAATTTACATTAGAAGAAGTGATTTCAGCAAATTAATATATAGTGCAGTAAACCTAAAGAAAAGTGTCCCAGCTTGGGTTTTTGCATAATAATAGATTAACTTTAGAAACAAAGGTTAACCAAATAGTCAAAACTGTAACTGATGAGTTAGAGTTCAAAGTGCTTTTTTAGTTTTATATGATTTTAAAATTACTTTCTGAAAATCTGTCCTAAAATTCCACATGGTTTTCCATAATTACTTTTATAGTCCAATACCTACAAAAGCAATAATAGTTTATGGTTCAAGGACACCCAGAAATTAAATTTAAATGAAAATAAATCTTCATGGGCACTTTTTTTCGCCTTGATAGTTTATTTAGACTAATGAACTCTATCAAAAATAATGTCATTATTAAGAAGAAACAATTTTGTATTATTTTCTGACAGTGTATTTAGGGTAGCCATACCTTTTCCATTCAGTCTTTGAAAAGCAGTAAAAGACCTAAGCCAGAAGTAATTGCTGCAAAGGTCTACACCCAGAGATTTACTGAGTTTATACTCGTACTCCAGGACTTAGAAAAAAGTCTGATTCCTGAAAATTTAAAGAATGTTTTTACTATAGAATTCCATCTTCTGATTAATGCAAAGCAAGAACTTTTTTTTTCTTTTGTAATTAGTACTTTGCAGATCCTTTATAAAAACACAAACGGCCAGACTAGGTGAAACTCATTAACTGAAGAGGAGGATAAGTGTCTTCACAACCAAGAGGGAGAACTGGCGCTGGGTCTGAGTGGAACAAAGCCCCCTTCAGAGTTTTGTAGAGGCCACAGCAAACCATGGTTCCAGAAATGCTAACTCTGCAGATATAACATTTGCCTACACGGTTTCGGGTCTAACTAGCCATAATTTCCAATTGAGGCAGACACCAAAATGCAGAATGAAAACTGTAGAGGGGAATGGCAGATTGCAGGTACTTTGCTGCATTGGGATGTAAATGTGTGCAATTTTGAAGAACATAAGGAGAGTGTTTTCTGTATGAAGGGGGTGAGGGTGTCTTCTATTTAAGATTTTGCTTAGAAACACAACCTAAAGGTCAGAACAAGTAGTCAATCAGACTTCTAGCCACACAGATGTTGTGTTCAGACTCCATTCGGTTGGCAATTGTTTGCTTTCAATTTAAAGCAAACTGGAGGCTCAATCCTGTTCACTAAATTGCAAGCACCTTCTTCCGTAGACTTGCTTTGTTAACTGCATTGAATAGTGACAGTTTAGCAAAACTTTTAAAATAAATTTGTGAACCATCATTATGTAAAGATGTATGGATTGGATTTTTAGATATGAGTCTGTGCATAGGAGAAAACAATGCAAAGTTGATTATATATTTGATAAAATATAAGTAGCTTGTTACTGCTGGTGAGAATTTCTGGTGAAATTTAAAAGAAGATGGGAGAAGGAAAACCACACCACACCTTGTCAGAAAGAAGCCCGCTTGCTCCAGTAAGTATTGTGATCCCTTTGGTTTTCAAGATCACTTGTATTATGTCTAAGTTTAGCCACAGAAAGTTTCAGGGAGAGTTTTAATTTGTGTGTGTGTGTGTGTGTGTTGGGTTGTGCTTTAGAATGTTTACCTGAAGTTGAATGCAGTGCTTTAAAAAGAATTAGTATAACCTCAACTTCTGTTATTTTTTAGGTGACTGACTCGTAATAAAATTTTAATCACCAACTGCCTACATTTAGGTTGTGCACACTGATTTTGCAATAGTGAACAACTCTGGTCCCATTTCACTCTGTTTTCTCTTGATACGCACCCCACAGAGTAGGGGGAAACAAGCCATCAGAGTATTGGACCTAACTCCGAATGAAGAAAACTTCCTCAGAAAATGGACCATCTCTTATATCGTTCGTTCATTTTCTCTTTTTCCTGGTTAGAAATAGAACTCCATCATCAGGAATGGATTCTGTCCGGATTCAATTCTCCGACTCTTTTGGGTGCATTCAAGTTGCGGTTTAAACGGGACAATACTGAACGGCTACAGTGCGGTCTAGGAGAGGATGGCTGATAAATTAACGTTCAGGGAATGTCTGTATTTTACATGTCTAAGCATAGCTATATTTAATTGATCTCAGATCTCGAACTTAAAATAACTGGAGGGAGAAAAGGGGGGGGTAAGGACAATTTCCGATGTTTTCTTACAGGTTTGAAGCTTGCACTTGGACAGATGATGAAACTGGCGTGGTGCGGAGGCCGACGCGGGAGGCTGGGCGCCAGGGAGGATGCCACCATACCACCCCGAGGGGTGGAGGGCTGACCTTCTCCCCCCTACCCCCCCCCCCCCCCCCCCCCCCCCCCCCCGCCACCTTGCTGTCTGCCGCCAGCAGCTCGCTGAGCACCCTGAGCAGCCGGGCCATCGGCGGGGTTGGCGCGCGAGGCACTGGGAGCAGTGACTGGGGACTAGGGAGGCGCCGCAAGTGCACCGCCGGCCACGCTGTCCGACCCTGTCGGGAGGGTATGGGAGACCAGCTACTTATTGTGGCTTTGATTCCTTGCAGAGCAGCTCACCGGGCCCAGCAGCAGCACCAGCCGCCCGCTTCTGGGCACAGCGTCTGGCTGCGAAGTCCCTGCACCCCCGCCCCGACCTCCTTTCTGCTCAGCCCGGGCACATCGATCGCCATTCAACTCGAGGGAAGGGGATAAAAAGAGCTAGTGTAGGACCCCAGTCCCACCTCGGTCTGTTCCTGGAGTCTACCGTCATCGCAGGAAAATTAACCTATCGGTCATTACACCCCATTTGCCTTTGTAACGCTAAATGGCAATCTGATGGCAGTGCAGAAGGCTTTGTACTTTAACATACATTACCCCATTTGATCTACACAGAGAAGACAGCTGCTCATTACGAGTCCCTAGCGCCACAGTAGTCAGGCTGTTACCAGGTTCTAAGATTTTTTTTAAAAACCTTCATGAAATTGAAAAAAAAAAGTGCCCTGTTTATAGATAATATAATGGAGTGCAATTAGCTACTTTAAAAATGGCCTGCTGACTTTGACATTACAATTTTGAAGAGACATTTATAGCTGTAAATATTACACTTTAAAGCACAGAAAAGCCTTTATTTGAAACAGGGCTTTTGTGTGTTTGTGTATAAGACTCATACATAGAGACAAGTTGGAAGGAAGTGGGGGAAGAATGAGGAGGGGATCATTCTCCTGTTCTTAAGAAGGAATCTTCTGTCATCTTTTGCTTGAAGTCATCTTCAAACACAGTTTCCTATGTTCCATTAAAAATGGAACTAGGTCATGTATGTGAAGGCTTCCAACTAAAGGCTGAGAAAATAGGGTAGAAGTGTGTATTTGAGGTTCCTATGAAGCTATACAGACATTTAGGAGGTGTGGAAAATGGAATACTTTGTTTAGATGGATATACATTTTT